AAAGAAAAGAAAAGAAAAGAAAAGAAAAGAAAAGAAAAGAAAAGAAAAGAAAGAGGGAGGGAGGGAGGAAGGGAGGAAGGAAGGGGCATCCATTTGAGGCCTGGGTTTACTGTGCTTACAGTTCCACCAATAAATCATCTCCCAATCTGGGCTTGGAAAAGCACTGGCCACGGTTTGATTGCTCCAGCCCCAGGTTGCCAGGCAACCACCACAAGGGGGAAGTCTGAGAATCGCTGACAGATAGCCAAGTGGCTGAAACAACAGACTTCTCTCTGTCAAAAATGTGTTCAGAGAGCCACTTGCCCACCTCTGCTCTCTGCTTAACACTATGTGATTGTAAAATCAAAATGAAAAGGCCACTGTAATAAAAACACACTTCCTGCTCAATTACTAATTGTTAAAAAGCTGTGGGGAGGCCTAGATTACAGTGTACAGCAACAGAAATGTGATACTGTAAATGAGATAAAGTCAGCAGTAGGCAAGAAACCTGATCTAAATGTAACTCTATAGTTTCAAGTCAGGGGACCTGGTGTGCAGAGAAAATTAGCTGCCTAAGAGAGCACCAGGAAGAAAATAATGTTAAGAGGTGGAAAAAAACAAACCAAACTACTAAGTAGCTACAGGACAGGACTGCTTAATTCTAGAACCAGGAAACGTAATCTGGAGGACCATGAAGGTTCTCTCTCTGATGGATTTCTGGGGTAAAAGGGTACAGGTGGATTTCCTAAAGCTGGAAAGTACACTGGACTACAGGAGATAGACTTGGGATAATACCTGATTATATGGCCTAAGAGCTGAGAGTCTATGGCAACATCTTAAATATCTACGACACAGGCCCCAAGCAAGTAACAGTGTGCCACTGTCCTAACAGCATGACCTCTACACAGTGTCCTTCCATGAAACCACCTACTGAACTTGTCATCTTGGATGCTCTGGAAACTATCTGTGGTATTTGGAAGAGACATAGTTCTTCATCTGTTTTCTGGTAAAGCCTAACCCCTTCTAAAAATGGCTTGTAGATGCCTAAAATAAAACATAGGAACCTGCAAAGGAAATCAGTTACATTGAAAATCCACCATAGAAACATTTTTTTAAAGTTAATGAAAGTTAAGACTATTACACTAGAGTAATATATGTGCTTTATTAATATTAAATAACAAGATCTAGCAAAGGGTTTTATTTATGGTTTGGGGGGCAGTTATTTTGCTTTCTTTATAATGTGAGCTCATATGTTAAATTCCTGGAGGGCAAAGCGGAAAGCTTTTCATCATTTAATCCCAAAGTGACCTGCAGTCTGGTTCCTCCCTGCAGCTCCCAGGCTGTCCTCTCCCCACTGTCATCCTACCTCCAATGAGGTCTTTCTCCCAGGGCCCAGAACAGGCTCCGTACCCAGGATCTATCTCTAGGTCCGCATTCAGCAGGGCACACACACATGACAGGCTTCATAAGGATGTATGGAGTCAAATAGTGCTGAGGGACTATTTCCAAGCCCTCAACCCTGACACTCGGCAGTGTGAGAAGGTGCAAGCCCTGGGCACTGCCCCCCGGGTCTTGCCACTCTGTGCAGATCACCTCCTGCCAGGCAGCGCTGCCCTCCCCAGCACAAAGGGGCAGTCCAGGGCAGAGGTGCAGCTCTCAGGTCAAGATGAGGAAACCTGCACAAGTCACACACTCTCCAACTCTTTGTTTCCAGCAACCGTGAAGGAGGCCCCTGTGGAATGTCATCTGACAGATTACTGAAAATAACGTCTGATGACAATTTTTTTGGCATTGTGGAAGGAATTCAAGTAACTGAATGACACAAAACTATCATTCCACCAACTTATTCATGTAAACAAGGTTTCTGGGCACTAACATTACAAATAAATGAAGAACAGGAATAAAACTGACGTAGAAAAGGACTTCATTCTAACTATAAGTAATATTCAAGAATTAATGCATTTTTAAAAACCTATTTGTTTTACTTCCAATAAAAATTAAGCAAAAAGAAAACTATCAACATTTATATTTTATGCTGTTCTGGTCAAATGTGCACTAACTACTCTAATAAACAGTCTCAATGATTTTTTCTTGTATCACGTACAGCTTAACTGTTAAAGGAAACTGTAGGTGCACATATTTTAATACAAAGGACTGAAGTGATGCTAGACTCTCAAGCATAAAATGCATTATCTTAGAATAAACTCCTCAGGGAACTAGCTGGAAATATAGGTTAGATGAGGAAAAGTGTAAGAGGCACAATTTGCCCTTAAAAGAAAACTTATTAATATATTTCAGAAATGGGTATTTATCACTACAGTACTGAAAAATCAATGGATATATTTAAAAGAGAGATGGGACAGTTTTACTATTAAGTGTTGGTATCTACACTATGTTAGAAGTCATATCTTTATAATAAAAAACTGTACGGCAATGGTTTTTCTTTGGGGGAGGTCTCTTTTTTTCCCCTTTTCTCTTTTTTGGTACCAGGAATCAAACTCACAGCCTTGTGCTTACAGGACAGGCACGGTGCCACTGAACTACATCCTGAGACCCTGTATGTCAATCTAAACTTGGAAGGAAGTATATGGTTTTGGGTAAAATTCTTTCAGAGGCTTCTTGGGGGAAAATCGTTTTTTAAAATCTCTGCACCTACTGGAAGAAGACAGAAGATGTCTGGAGGGCCAAGCATGCTTCCATGTCTCAGCTAGACTCAGGGGACTCTGGTTTTGCCTCACAGAAACAAATGCCAGTTAACAAACGCACCTTTCAGGACAAAACAGGCCGAACCATGGAAGATGATGCCCTGGTAGTTAGTGGGGGTTTTGTTTGTTTGTTTTTTATTGAGTTTTGTTTCATTTTTTGAGACAGGGTCTCACTACGTAGTCCACACTGGTCTCAAACTCAACAATTATCCTGCCTCAGTCTCCCAGGTACTGAGAGGACAGGCATGCCCACCATGCCTGGCTGCCCTGGTAACTGTTGCTCCCCCAGGGCACGGACCATTTGTAATCTGAACTCCAGAACTGCCTGTGGTGCTTCTGCCTAAGCAAACAGCTCCAACCGTTCAGTACAAGGCAATGGCAATAAAGAGCTCTAGCACACCAGCCTCCACTCCCACCATACCCAAAAAGCTCACAAGGCTTCAAGCCTTAGGTGGATTCTGAGGTTGTCTTCAGCTCCAGGGGAGACAGGGGACTATGTCAGTCCTCATCTGGGATGAGCTGCACTCCTTCTGCAGACGTACTCAAGTCAGACCCTCCTGTTCAGGACCTGTCCTGCAAGCGGTGTGTCTGCACCCTTCCAGAGATCCCATCTTGCTCAGCGAACTTTTTGTTGTTGTTGGTGGTGGTGGTACCGGGATTGAATTTGGGACCTTGCGTTAGCAAGGCAGGCGGCCAAACCACTGAGCTAAATCCCTGGCCCCCTCGGGGAGGTATCTGGCTCCACTTGCCATCCCCATGACCCTAAGCAGACAGACCTCTCTCCTGGCCAGAGTTCCCTTCTACCTCTGGACCTCCACTTGTCTGTGTGCCCTTTCATGGAACTGCCCAGGGTTAGCCCTCAACACCATTAGAAAGTCACCTCTGTGTGGGCCAGGGTCTTGTCTGGTATCACATGGCAGAAGGCTCTGCATCAACAAACAGGCATTTAAACTTCTTTGGTGACACTTCCTATAGTCAGTACCTCAGCCTTTCAGAGCTGGAAGGGCCTATTTAATTACTACTCTCACCTCTGAGAGAGGAACAAGCACATTACCTGCTTCCAGACACAGCATCAGCCAGAAATGAGGTCTATACCACTTGTCTCACTGTCTTTTCATCATAATATACCTTTTAAATATA